ATCATAACATATCCGTCGACTTCGGCCGATATGTTCGCAATAGTCGAAAATGCGTGAGCACGAGGTCACGCGATCGCAGTCTATTCGCTAACGTGGTGAGTAGAGGACGTGTTCGACTAAAATAATATTATTCCATTATAATTTATAATATGTGTTTGGGTGTGAGTAGTTATTATGAAGTACGAAGTTTTTTTGGTACCGTTTACGTTTATGTTTTTTTTTTTTGAAAAAAAAAATTATTAATCTATAGGTACCTACAAACATGTAAGTACAAAAATCGCATGAGATGGAAAAAAAATGGCTATTTCAATGTTTGAGGTACGCCATATAACGATATACACAAGGCTATTTACCCGATATACTCATCCCCATTTTTCCTTTAATAATTCATTTTAATTTATTCAAATTTTGGTTTTTGGAATTTTTATATTTTATTTTATTACCGAAAACAATAAAATACCTATAGTACCTATGTATTTTTAAAGTGTTAGTTTTGTACTTCTGTCATATTATTATACTTAAGAAGACTTAACACTGCAGGCATTTGTTATCTCCGTCTTACAAGTGCGTAACATACCAAATTTACGCTCAACAAATTACGTTTAGCTTCGTTAGTTTAAAAATTGGAGTGATTTGACCTATTATAAGAACATTATCTGTGTTAGTATGTGGGTGGGGTTTTTACGATAATTCAGTTTTTAAGTGAGTTATGAACATTTTGAATTTACGCAATATAATATATACAAAACTTGCTAAAAAATTGAACTATCATAAAAAACGCACATAAAAACACAGATAATGTTCTTACCACAAAGTTTCATAATAGGTCGATTCACTCTAATTTTTAAACTTAAGAAGCTAAACGTGATCGGCTGAGCTTAAATTTACTATGTTTCGCACTAGTAAAGAAGAGACAACAAATGCCAGTGTTACGTCCTCTTAAGGCCCCTGCAAACCCTATCAATTTTCCATCCAAACGACCTTAGCAACTGACAACAATTAAGATACCTATTTATTATACTTATATAATAGTGGTTCGATCTAAAAAATGTAAAAATATTTCATTTAGCAAAGAAGTTAAATTTGCATCGGTCGGGTCATTTATTCAATATTTTGAATACCTAGTTGTTAATATGTTTATTATAAAAAATTGAAAAATTAATAAAATTGTTAATTGTTATTCACCACTTATTCCCGTCAAGAATTTCCTAAAATTGAAAAAGTGTTCCAACCGATGTAAATTAATTTTATTTATGCATTCAAACATCTTTATATTTCAAACCTTTAAAAGTAGGTACTCAAATTTTTGTCAATCGTATAGCTGATTTTACGGAATCACGTCCATAAATTGGTTTTGAATATTTTGATCTAATGATTAAATGACATGATAAGGGGGTTCAAAGTAGATTTCGGGGGGTTGAACCCCCCTGTATACGCGCCTGCAGTGTATGATGCGGGTGATTGGTAAGAAGTATACACACACTAATGATCATTTAGTACACACATACAAAGACGAACAGTGACGATAAGAACAAATTAATTGCCTAAACACAACTCCTTTAAAATGCCACATTTGCAGGGGCATACATAACATACTATGCAGGCATTAAAGTAGGAGAACATGGGGTATAACGGAGTCATTCTACTACTATAACTACTGCAGTAGAGCTGTGCAAGGTCGAGCTCAAGTTAAGGGGGGTGAGGGTGTCATACTGCCCCTTTGGCTTATTTTTGTCATATGAGGTACATGATAAAGCAATATAAGTGTCCATATAACGTAATCTGAGAATAGTCAAGAATAGTCATATCCTTCACCTTTCAAAAAACCTGAGCACGCCACTCATACCGTGGAGGTTTATACCAACGTTTCAAAATAATATATAATATTATGTACTTAGCTAGCTGTGACTATTACATAGTTGAAATATCATATTTTCTAATAGACAATAGTAAAAACGTTACAAATTGATGAAAATAAATCATAGAAACCTGTTTCAAAAAATATAACAAGAACATTGATTATATCACATGTAAATATAATAACTTAAAATATAATGTACCATATTTAAATATTTCAGTAGGTATACAACTGAATTATTGTAATGTTTTTTTTTAAAATTATAAAATGTAATAGTTTTTTTTTTTCAGAAACGCCGATAACCCTGGCAGTTGAGACGTATTTATAAATAATAAAAAAAAAATCATAGAAAAAATATACGAACGTGATTAATTAATATTATATAAAAAATTATAACTGGGGAAGTCGCTTTGCTGTAGGTTTTGAGTGTACCTCGTCATTGAGACTGTAGCCACCATAATGGATATTGTGTTCAATTTGAATTCAACGATAAATCATTGCGATTCTGAGCGAGAAATGGGAATACACTGTCACGACCACACAGCCTCAGCCCTCAACTTCTAAGGATGTTTTACGTTTATGATTAATTCATTTTTATAGTATCTAAGTAATACAGTAGATTATAATTTTTTCCAAAAATATAGTAAACATTATAATTTAATAATTATTAAATATTTTTTTATTGTTATTACTTATTAAGGGGATTCGATACCGTAATTTTCTGTTCTAATCTAACATACGCGTGACATACTATTTTTAATTTTAGACTTGTTTTTTGCCAAACATTTCAATTGATCTATTGATAAGAATTGTGATAAGAATTCTGAAAACCGATTTGAGTTTTTCGTTAAGTCTACTTCAAATCGACTTTCCCACATGTTTGATATTATTCCCCAAATTCTTAAAAAATTTCATATTAAAATTTAAAAGAGTACCTATTTAAAAATTGTCGTATTTTAATTTTTGGCGAATTTAAAATCAAAAAATCAAAAATATGGGAAAGTCGATTTCAAGTATAGTTAAAGAAAAATTCAAATATTATGTTCTTAAAATTATTATCGTTTTATTAGATCAAATTGTATGTTTGGCAAAGAACTATAATAGTCTAAAATCCTATGTCACGTGTGTGTTAGACAAAAACAGAAAATAACGGTATAGAATCCCCTTAACAATTAATTTATAAATTAACCAAGGATTATTATGTTATAATTTACAAATTAAGCTTACAATTAGGTAGATAGTCTAAATATTTAAAAAATTATATTTTGTATAATTATCAATAATAATATACATAAATAAGTACAATAGCAAAAACTTTCAATTTAGTAGGTAGGTACCTACTTCACAATAACTTGAATATTGATAGAGGAAAACCGTTATTTTTCGGTTTTTGTTTGAATATCAAAATATGAAAACAATATTTTAACTTAAACAAATGTCTATAAATAAAATTGTGTGCCTATAGGTATATACTACCTATATATATATACCCATGCGTATTTTCAATATTTTATATTACTGTTTCAACAACTTATGAGGAACATTGAATTCATTTTCAGGCCTAAGATAAACAAATTAAACACTTTATAAAATGTTACGCTAAAAAATAATTTGGAAGTGTTCAAGGTTTTTACGAATTTTGTCAACAATTTAAGATAAAACGTTTTAAAAAAAAATCGGGCCACCATAATATAACTATTATCAATATAATTAGTTTTTTGACTAAGAACAAATGTGTTATCAACATAAATGGAAAAAAATTAAAACTCGTACATTTGTAATGTTTATAAATAGCTCTAAATGAGCTAAAATATTAAAAAAAATTATATTTTGTCAAGAGTAGGTATGCTAATATATTAATATTTAGTAAAAATTGCAAATGGTCTATAGGCATGTATAACCATAGATAATTTTTGATTTAGGTACAAACAAACATCTTTTGAATCTACTTTTTTTTACTTTTGAAAGTCAACTAACTAGATATTATAATGTTCTAATTTTTTACTAGAAAACACATTTTCACACTCCAAAATGTTAAGAAAAGGTACAGTCGTACACAAAAAAACCATACACATCATTGTAAAACTAATTCTAGTTAAAATTTAAAAAAATCTCCACTCAAAATCTAAGACTAAATTGTATTTTATTATTTAAAATATTGTGCCTACAATGCAATAGTTTTTAACTACAAGATAAATTGTACACGACGTCGATTTCAAAGCTAGAATTCGCGTTGGGTATATTCGTATAGTCATACCTATATAGGTATTAGGTACTTTGATATATACATCGGTAGGTATCGGTTTATCAGCCAAACACATTATTATCGACACATTATTAAAATTATTTCTGCTTATACACGAGAGACATGCTATATGTTTACAATGTATCGTGCATAACGATAATACTATATAAATAAATAATATATATTATATCATTCATATTTCTGTAGAATTTCGATTTCCGATTATCTTCAAATACTTGTCGTTCGTAGGTATACGGAGTAGGTAGTTAAACGCGGACAAACTTTAAACTTGGTTTATTGTTTTATCTAACCGGCGAGTACGTTTATCGAAAACAAGTTTACAGTAGCAGTGGATGTAATATATAGTTGTATAAAACAACTTTTGAAAGTCAAAAGGTTTCGGAAATGTGAAAGACCAATAAAAGTAAAAGAGGAAAAGGTCCCGAACAGACTTACAACAGACATTCTTATACAGCAGACGATGCTGTTATCTCAACGGCTCGAACATGTGTTTTTAAGAAATGTAGTCGGCGGAGTTCCGTAAGTCACGACTAGAGAAAAACTTTGTCAGTTTATTACTGTCCCGGTATCTCATATATTATATATTTTTTTACAAACTACACGCGTGTAGAATTTTTAGAAAAAGACGTACCGTGTGGTGCTGTCTATTTTCAATTACTTTTCCAGAGTATTGATAAATTCAAAGAGATAAATAATTAAAAACAAAGTAAACACATTTTGAAACAATTTCATATTGTATTATAGGTATTTGTAACATCATAAAATTGACTAAACGAGTCATCAATTTATAATGTGACGTTTAAGTTTGGCACTATAGTATTATTTCATGACAATTGGTCAGCATTAGCTTCAATAACGATTTTGTCAAAGTACCATTCACATTTCGCGTACAGCTTCGATACCTAATAATTGGAAAACATTTTCATACACCTGAATTGACGACTTGACCAAATATAATCGAGCATACATCAGCGGTAATAAACTTGAAATCGGGTCCTGAGAATATAATATATTCATTATATTAATATAATAATATTTAATACAAAATGTAACTAATTATGTTTAGTTGTATTATATTTAAATTTAATTAATACGAGTGTGTATATACACATGCATGCTAACCAATTTTTTAAAAGCATAATATAATTAGGTACCTATGCAAAATATTTATCATTGATTATGTACCGTGAATACATTTATAAATTATAACTAATAAGGTATAGGTACTGAAAAAATTCCGTTTTTAAATTTAATTGTAAGTCAATTCTATAATATTGCAATATTTCATAATAAGATATTATGATTTATGAATAATAATAATAACCAATAATAGTAAGATATTATACATATAATAGTAAACTATAAAACTGAACAAATTATTGGTTAATGGTTACACATATTTTGTATAGGTATCATAATTACAGTGTTTACCTGCAATTTTTAATACCTTGATTATTATGCAATTATTTACTATAAGTTGTATAAAAAAATTACAAATAATATTTCTTTTTTTTAATTTAAGGTACCAACAATAGTAAGTTCATACTTTATAATTATTAGTTGATTACTTTGTTTATGATTCAAAAAGTATATTTTGTTTAATCATGCAAATATTTATATGTCATTACATTTATTTTATATTATGTTTTCAATAAACTCAAGTAATAATTTTCTATAATATGTACTCAATTTTTAATTAGTTATTCAGACATTTAAATTTTGATTATAAACACAAAGAAAAAATTATAAAAAGATAAATACAAATAATGAGACAATTCAATACCAAGTATATAATAAATCATTAGACTGCGATTATCAAAAATGTATATTATAGAGTCTTAATTAATAAAATGACTTGGATTAATGTATTTTATTTATCTGTGTGAATAATACTAACACCATTCATTTGTATAGTAATTATTAATATGGTACTATTTTATTTACCAGTTATTTATTTATGCACAGCACATTTACAGAATTGAGATTACAAACAATATTATTATTGTTTTTATTATTGTCTGTTTCATACTATAATATTTTCATTGTTTCAATCATATTTGATAATGTAATTATAAAGTATAGTAATGATATTATATTTCATATTTTTAATTTTATTAAAATATTTGAAGGTAGTTAGATATTTAAATGTAGTGTTTAACTTTAATCAAATATCAAATCTTTTAAATAAAATTATGAGAAATATATTACTGATATACTGATTTAAATGTATAAATTGCATACAAATTTACATTGTTAATAAGCTATTAATAAGTAATTAATAGTGCATTCATTTTACTCAAATATTGACTCCAAAAAAAAGGATCAATAATAATAATTTTGGAAAAAAAAAATGTTAATTATAAAATAATAATGACAGTAACAATAAAAATTAATACCAACACAATTAACATTTATTTAAAATTAAGCATGAAAAAAGGTTAATGAAAATGTTGGTAGGATAAACAAAAGTTTCATAACATCATAAATTTGTATTATTAAGTGCTCAAAATTAAAATGTTCTTTTTCTTTAAAAAATGTTCATTAAGGGGATGGGGTACTGGGTTGTCTCTGTCTTACACACGCAACAAGTGGAACATAGTAAATCTACATACTAGATTCTAAGTACAATTTATTTATAGTTAATATTAAAGCAACTTTATATACTATCAAATATGTAGAGAAGAATATAAACTGTGATTGGGAAAAGTTTTTTTCATGTTGTTGTTTTAAACATTTTTTAATAAGTTCTAAGTATTTAAATAATTTCAAATTCATATGACTTATTTTTAAATAAACAAATGAACTCTATGCTCGAGCACAAGTTATATTCTCCAATAAACATTTGAAAATTTGTAAATTTGCTCTAATATTAGCTATAAATAAACTGTAGTGAGAATCCGGTACATAGATTTTCTATTATACACGTTTTTAGAACAGATAGAGCTAGAGCACATGCAGGTACGACATCATCTTAATGCTTTATATCAGGGGTCGGCAACCCGCGGGTCACGATTAAAATTTATAATTTGTATGAAAATACAAAAATATTATGGACTGGAATCTGTGAATTAAGACTTTGTTGTTAATAGATATCTGTTAAATTAATAAACTTAATAGTTATGAACTATATGATATCAGTATATCACATGTGTATTAATATAACTAATAAATCATGCATTTTCAATGTTATCATATTTTATAATCATTAAATATGTCTGATATTTATATTAAAATAAAATATTGATTATATATTTTTTTATAACCACCACATTAATGAGCAAAGAAATAATAGGATTCATAATGATTTGGGTGAGTTAAGAAAATTTAAAATCTTTTAAAAACGGTTAGGTACTGCACCTGTCAAAAGTAAGGGAACTTGACATTATAGCTTCAGACAAGAAAAGTATACTTTCATAGGTAATGGAGAAATAATTTACATTTTTATGGTTTCAAAACATTTACTTACAAATTATATTAAAGAAAAATAGGAAAATAAATAGCATAATACTGAATATACTGATACATAATAATGAATCATTTTTATAAATCAATATTATGTTGTAACCAATTTTTATGAACTATGTGCTTAACACCTACACATATTTAAATTAATTTTGGTTTTCAGTAATTTCTGTGAGAAGTGAAAATACTGTTACATGTAACTTAGTTTATTATTTTATTATTAATATTATTTCTTTTATGGTTTATGGCATTGTATAACATTTTAATATTGTTGTATGCTACACAAAAACTATATTCATATGTTTAAAAAGTTAACACTAAAAATAATATTTTCAAAAACCACTTGAAAATTTTAAATAATGCACTCACTGATAAAATATGATGCCTATGATAAAATAGGCTAACCGCAGATGACATTTCCATCAAAAACTTGCACAATCTATGGACATCCACATTCCCTGACAACAAGTGTTCAACAGATTGTTGAATAACTGAAGGACACACTGATAAATGGTTAAGAATTAAAATCCATTCTTCCTAAATTATAAACATTATATTATTCATAATAATTTAATTTCCTAAGACTTCTAAACCAGTGTCAGGCACTAGAAAAAATGTAATGGTATACCAAATGACAATAGGAGGCCTTCATACAGATTTTCTACTATCCGTACAAATATGAATAGTAAAATTATAGATATTAAGAAATAATTTTCATTATATAATTATATGCATTTTTTTAGTCTTATAAGTGCATACATGACAAAATAAATATCTCATGGGAGCATAACTTAAATAATATTTTTATAACCACCAAAAAAACAATCCAGATGAGCCGATTATGTGGTCAAAACATTCTAGTTTACGCCCCTGGTGCCGTTATATAACATAGCTCACTTTACTAGTCAACAATCCAAAGTTAACGGAACCGATATCTGGTAATGGTTCATAGTAATTTTCAATAACACCTTTTTCATACGCTTTCCATACTTGACACAGCCTTGAATAATTGTACATTATGAAAATGCCACCTAAAAAAAAATGAACCAATCAAATTTAAATTGTACATTTTAAGCACAAAAATATTTATTTAAACTAACTGTCTTTATTTGATGTATCACATTCTGTATTAATAACTTTACAATGACGGACACTTAATAATTCATAGACAATTGATGCATGGCATAGTTTTGAAATGATATCAATTGGATATTCATCGGATTCAATACGATTAGCAGACATTTTAGTAATAGCTTCTTGTTTTCGCCTGAAAACCCAAAATGATAGATTTTGTAATATACGGAATGGGTATATGAAATTAATTAATTATATGCTCACTGTTTATACTGTTTGGCTGTCACATTACAAACAACATTACCACACAATACAAGATTACTGTGTATGGGTTGTTTTTTTCGACACAATAAATGACAGTCCATCACTTCCTATTGTATAACCATTTATTTTGGCTAAATTTTGAACTGCTTCTGTCAATAATGCAATGCGCAAGCATGTAACTGAATCGTTACACTCATCAGAACTGACTGAGACTACCTATGTTCACAAAAAACTAATCTTAGAAACGAACTGATGTTTATGAGACAGTGAGATCATATACTTTACAGTGCCTTGGTGATCATCATTGCTACCATATTTACAGCCAGATATTAATATCTCTTTCATCACCGTGGATGTCCATAATTCTTTTTTTAACCATATTGATGTATAATCTGAAGACCATGAGCATCGTTCTACAATTGTCAAGTCCTCCACTAACTTTTCAACAACGTTTTGTAAGTCCTAGGAAATAACAAATGCATACATTTTGAATTAGATTGAAATTTCAAACTTTTAATGATTTAATATTTTTGGCGACACTCACTTTAGTTGAATAGAAACGGATGTGCCCGTTAATGTGGTGTTTCATCGCTGGCAATTTAATGTCAATATCAAGCTCCACATGGGGTCCGTACAACAATCGCAATTCTTTGTAGAAATTTTCCAAAATGTACATGATTAAAACGCAATACTATAGTCAGTTGCTGAACTAGATTCAAATGATTCAACAACTCGTATAATAAAACTAATTTGATATTATCACCTTAGACGCTACGCCCAGCAAGTTGGTACTATAATAAAGACTAACTACCTACTTTATTACTTTTTAAATAGTTTTTATTGTCATGCTCTTTTTTTCAGCAGCAACAAGGCTTACAATTTTTTTGATATAGTCGTTGAATGCTGGATCTTTTGTATTCAAAATTCTGTATTCATAATCATTTTTCCAAAACGACAATTTAAGATCACAGATTATGATATAAGATGTAACAATATAATTTTATTATAACTTATAGTACGAACAGTAGAAACCAGAAGACAACAGTAGAAAACAATTAATTGTGACAAGTGACAACCGAAATACTGAATACAAATAAGTTTTAATATTTAATAACTACCTATAACGAAATTTTAGGAGTGTGAAGTTATCAATTTATTGAGCTGGCCATTGATAAGAATGTGTACAATGGGTTGCCTATACAAGTCCCAAACATAATTCAAAATTCTTATAGGAACTTGTACCATTACACACCACTTACCTATTTTTTTATAGATGAAATTGTATATTATAACACCGTAATATCGGCAACTTTAAACTGCCACAACTTTGAACTAATAAGTTTCCGCAGGTCTTCAAACATTTTTGAACTCAGCATACTAAAACAGGAATTTTGAAAACAAAAAAATTGAATAGGTATTCGAAATATATACCTATTATTATAATATATCAGCCATATAACTTATATTATATTCGCATTGTAATTTAATTACCAAACAAAAATAACTCCCACGACACTGTGTCTCGGGGCACCAGAGGGAGAATACATTTTAAGAATGTCTATAAACTCGTGAATTAGTTTGTATGGTTAAATTTGACATGCGACAGACAACTGAAATAGAAAACCAAATTACGTTGCAACTTGAAGATCACAATGATTTCTATAAAATAATAGAATAATAACATAGGGTTGTTCTGTTGAATGTGGATCGTACATTTAGTATGTCACTGGTGTGTCAAAGAGGGAAAACAAGTAGCTCGCTGACCTCCCAACCGGCAACCGACCTTCTTATTCTATCCCAGAAGTAAGGTTGTAAACCTATCAACTTGGAAGTTGCGACCATAGAGTTTGAGTGGCCTTGGCAATTCAAGATCCTTTCACACGTTTTATCCACTTTTTCATCTTCGGCCATTCTCTCACAACTGAAAAGCCGTGCATGAACCGGACAGCTCCATTTTCGTAAAATCGGCTTTTAAACTTATATACAAAATAATAATAAAATCGTTATATTATAACAACAACTGACTAGATAATATGAGCTTAAACTTTACGATAGTATTATTATGATGCTTAAATTAGTTTGTCCTGTCTCCTGGAGGAAGACCGCGAATATGCCTGCAGATGGGAGAACTACTGGTCCAAGTATATCGTATAACTATATCATAAAATACGTTTCCAATGAAGAAGTTACAAATTATTGAATCGGAAATATCAAAACTGTATAGACAGAACCACGGAAAAGTTATTGTTAAATCAAAAGTATATAATATAATAATAATTATTGTGATCTAAGTAGTGGCGATCCGAAGCGCTCAATTTTTACGCAGTTGCATCAACTTTTCAAAGGGGGTGGTGCTTCCCCGTGACTGTGGCGCAAAATTACATGCTAAAGCATGACCTCTTGGATTTTTTCATCACATTTTATTTACATCATAACTTTGTTGTAAATAAAAATACGATGGTGGTGGTGGTGGTAAGTATTTAGTTATGAAAATGCGTCATTTAAAATTGAAGTCCAGTCCACCACTGGATCCAAGGACAAAACATAAAATTTCATCTTATCAGTGGTAAAATACTAACATTATTATTACAAATTAATGTCGTCCAGGAGCCAGGAGGACACCATAGGATTAATTAATTCAGCACTCACAACTCACAAGTGTTAAGCTTTAAGCATACCCGTCATACATTTTTAGAAATAATAGGTGGTTGACCTCTCATTATTGACTAAAAATGTTGAAGACAGAAGACCGGCCCCTTGGTCTAAGACTAAGGAGTAAAAAGATAAAATTACCAGTTACTACTGAACTGTAAAAATTATTATCTTAAATCATTGTATATATATCAATAGGCTATAGGCCAACCTAAATGATATTAGATATATTATATTATGCAGTATCTAACCACAACGGTCAGATACTGTAATGGCGTAATACGTAATAACATAATAAAATAATGGCATAATAGTCATGTAAGCATATTATATATCTGTGCGGAGGGATACTAAACTTTTACGAATCATGGAGGAAAATATTATGATTTATGACTGCCTCCATAGGTCATCAGCTGCTGGTAATTCTATAGAATTTCCTCTATGTCGGTTATTGATATAGAAAGAAAATTGGCCATGTCTGGAGATTTATCCTCAATCTGGAGATTTTTGATATGGCTGGAAACTTTTTTGGGGAATTTGTAAATAAGGATTTTAAAAATGAAATCTAAACTTTTTAGAAGATAGATCGAAAGTTTAAGAATTTCCACCTGGCAACACTGAATTCAGTCATCGTAAGAGTGGTCGAGGGCCGGCGCTTACATGCATTAGCGCTTAGCTAAAAGCCCAAAAGGTAAGCGAATTTAGAAGTTTACATAACATTATGCATTTCTGTCCATAATGTATGAGTGTAGTGTACCTATACCATAGGCGTGTGCGGAATTTGTCCGCAAGAGAGGCCCCTTAAAAATGTCTGAACCAAAGATTCTTGTACTAATGACTACCGTAAAAGGGGGTGATTTTGGACATGTGACCAGAGTCGGACTGGCCCGGACCGCTAGTCCACAATTGCGGACGGGGCCCTGGCTTAATTATGGTAATTGGAGGCCCCTGATTTTGTACCTATTAATATTATTAATATTCGTTTACAGTAAATAGGAATACGAAACAAACATTTTTTTTTTTCAAATCAGGAAACGTATTTTTGTTTACAATCTTGAGACGTTCTCAAAAAATAATTTTAATCAAATAACAAGTATTCACTCGGGGCGGAATAAGAACGTACCCGGGCGGCGGACCAAAACAGGTTTGCTGCGCGCAGGTCATGGTTATGACTATAACTAAATGTTTATAACTATGAAAAGGTTGCGGACGGGAAACCGGTCGCCGCCTGCGCGACGAGGTACGTTCTTATTCCGCCCGGAGTATACACACAAATATTTTTTGAAAATATAAAAATACTATTAAATACTACCGATGCCAAAAATTTTGGACAAGAGCCCAAATTGCTGACTAAATATTTTAAAAAAATGTGAGTGCCTTTGTACTCACGAATGATGTGTAATACGCCGCGTTTTTCGGGGCGGCAAAAAACGCCGTTCGGCTTGCGTTTTCCACTGCGGCGGAAAACGCGGAGTATTACGCCCGTCGTGTATAGTTGCTCCGATTTAAACCAATACGTTTTTAATTCGACGGAAAACGATGCGAAATACGCGGCGTTCAAACGCGGCGGAATACGCCGTGTATAGCCCCGTGTATAGCCTATGGCGACGACACACACACACACGCACTCAAGCAGTCACATTTACATGACTTACGCCTGACGCTCAATTCCCCAAGAAGGTCGTATTACAAACCGATAGCATAGATGTTTACACATCAAAAAAATATTGAGTGTGGGGGGGGGGGTGAGACATCACCCCAAGACCCCCTCAAAGAACGGCCTTGTATTCTTGTCCACAAATTTGATTGTATATTAAGTTGCTTTAATATTAACTATAAATAAACTGTATTTAGAATCTAGTATGTAGATTTACTATGTTCCATTTGTTGCGTGTGTAAGACAGAGACAACCCAGTACCCCATCCCCTTAATGAACATTTTTTAAAGATAAAATAAACATTTTAATTTTGAACACTTAATAATACAAATTTATGATGTTATAAAATTTTTGTTTGTCCTACCAACATTTTCATTAACCTTTTTTCATGCTTAATTTTAAATAAATGTTAATTGTGTTGGTATTAATTTTTAATGTAACTGTCATTATTATTTTATAAATTATAATTAACATTTTTTTTCCAAAATTATTATTATTATTACTATTCCTTTTTTGGCATCAATATTCAAATAAATTAATACACTCTTAATTACTTTTTAATAGCCTATTAACAATGTAAATGTGTATGCAATTTATGCATTTAAAACAGTAGGTAATATTATTTTCATAATAGGTAGGTTTCAATATTCATTAGAATATATGACAATTGATTAAAGTTAACAACTAAACAGTCGCTTTTTTGAAGTCTTATGGTTTCGCTTGTAGTAATTTTGCGCCATAGAGTTGATTAATGACACAATGAAATAAAGAACCATTGATAACACAAATAGGTCAAACAATTTCACAGCAATATGTGTATTGTGTGCCCTACATAAGTACATAAATGTTAGTAATGAACTGTATAATTTTTAAAGATCAATATTAATCAAATTACCTTTGAGTCTTTTTTGGCATGTAACCTTTGTTTTTGGTTTTCTAAAAACGTTGTAATAGGTGCCTGCAATTTTTTTCCAACTCCTGGGATTTTGCCAACAATATCGAGTACACTTGCAATCAGTGTTTCATTAAAAGCCACTACAACAAACAACACTTGTATGCTCATTTTAATGGCAGCTTTACCCAAAAGAGTAGCCCCGAAAAACGTCCAGAACGGTATTAAAAAGTGTCCACATGTAATCCCAGCAAGATCGAATAATGGATTCGGAATCTAAAATATTTGTATTATTAAACTATGGTTTATCGTAAACAACAAAATATTAACTTACAGATGCACAGGCTAATATTCCAAAGAAACCAACTTTTTTTACGAGTCGCTCGACAAACAATTTTGACTTGTCTACCAGAGTCTAAAATAGAAACATGAATTACCACACAATAAACATAATGAACTAAGAAATATAACCATTGTTTCAGGATGCTTTTCTTTTTTCAGTAATTCTTCAAATTCTATTAAATCTTCCTTGTCTTCATCTGGTGGTCTACCGGAAAGTCTAGCAGCACGAGCCATGAAGTATGGAGGCAATTCACCAAGAGCAGTACCTGCTCCCCACATCATGGCTTCAACTCGTACTTTTAACATGATGTTCCATAAACTGGCTATCCATGCGCTGTCAACTTCATCAGGACAAATGATTCTGAAAATGTAAAAATGTATTAAAAATAATTATGTATGACTATAGACTATATAAAATAAAATAAAATAAGTAGAACTTACTGTTCTGGATATGGGGGCTCAGGGAAGTTAAGTCCACCACATTCATAGGCGGCCAAAGTGACAGAGGTTATGTGCGGGCCCAAGTAGAGAAGGAATGTATGAAGGCCTGTACCAAAACCAACAGATGATAAGACTCCTAGACCTAACCAATAGAGACACCATACAACTTTTGATTTTGCCCATATTAATATCTAAAACATCAATAACAACATTTATTTACATTGACTTATTTTAATTAAAACAGAATGACTCACTGGTAAATGAGGACCTTCAATGTATAATAAAATAATTGGAGTAGAAATTACTAAAAGTGCCAGAAGCACATATAACTTATAACAAATTAATCTGAAAAATAAAAATTAATACAATCAGTTTTACTATTAAATATTATTCAAACTATTGACCTGTAGTAAATGAGTTACTCAAATAATTTAATGCTATTTAAACATCATATAAGTTGTTATAAAATAACATGACAAAATGTAATTATCTGAAATTACAATATTACAATGTTATTTGATTAAAAATTAAAATGAAACTAAATAACCATACAACTAACTGCATATAATTAGAAAAGCAATACAAATATAGTTAATCATTGCTAAGATTAATTAATGTTGATAACAAATTACATAATTAAATTCACAAATTACATAACATTTCAATATTATGAAATGTTATAATATGTAACAATTTTTAAAAAAGACCATACAAATTGTATGTCACTAACATTTTAATGTTATTTATTTTCTTGATCAACATAATATTTTATTTGAACGTGTAATTGATAAGTGTGTTTGAGTATGATACCAAGGTCTATTAAATTATTTAACAACTATTCAAATAATACAATTTAAAATAAATACTACTTTTATGGGAAACAGGAATATAAATTAACCAAATTTGGAAAAATATTTAGGATCTTATATTATGCAGATATATGTAAAAACTAAATTGTACTTAGATATTTATAAACAAATGCTAAAACCAAAGTAAAATAGGTATATCTTAATGTAAATAAAATATAAAACAATTAATTGCACTCTTTGAGACACTTTAAAAACAGTTTTATTGCAATTGAATTACATTTTATTGTGCGCAATGGTAACTTGATGAATTTGAAACAAATTTTTTTAAAAATTTTACAAGTAATAACTATTCAAGTTTTTTATGTAACTTACTTTTTAACAAGTGATTTGGATAAACAAACTACTTCTTTACAGAAATAATCTAAAGTTAAGATGGGATGTTTCCATACCGCAAGTGAGTGGACATCCATTTTTGTTGATTTTTTAAGTTGTTTGAATTTAGAATTACTCTGGCCGTTTTGTAATACCTAAAAAAAATGTTAGGTGTAAGCAGTATATTAAAAACTGGTCAACGTCAATAACGTCGTTATAATGAATATATAAAACATTGAAATTAACTATAGTAACAAATTCTATAACACTGAATAGTGGAACGGGCTAAATTGCTAAACAAATAAATATCCAGGCACTTAATAAAATACAGACTACATAGAAATATTATTGAATAAGCATAATAATAGAATTTATTTCATTAATAATAAAATACAAAGAAAAATGTCTATTGTCACATAATTGGAATATATACCTACCATTTTCGTCATAATTGCTCAAGGTAAAAATAGTTACTAACTAGTTATAAAGAATGATTATGTCCTACAAAAAACAAATTGAAGATAGGGTTTTTGGTTACAGAGATAACATTAGGGATGCAGTCATAGAAAAAATATTAAATGGACGCAGTCATATATCACGAATACATAGATTTACAATATTTGTTTGCAGTTCAATATTAAAGCAAAAATTGTGTTGAAGCAAATATTTGACCGAGATAGCAGTTGAGAATACCGACATATATGTTAATTGTTATGGAATATGTTTGGTAATAAAACGTGGAGAGGTCTAACGAGAGCCGCACGAGTGTTAGTGTTTTTTTTTTTTAGCTGTTGTTTTCCCTCGAAGTGAAACCGTCCGAAAGGCAGCGGACAAGGCGTGGCGAGATGACGTGTTGTCGAGATAATAGATACGTGACAGTGCACATTTCTTTGGGGATCGGCGGTAAGTCACAGATACACGTTCTCCGGTCATCCTGCAGTAGCGCGACGGGATCGCGGACGTTGCGGGCTCGAGGTCGATGCTTCGGTCCGGGAGCGACGACGACACGACGACTGAGGCTAGCGGTACCGGCGCGGACAACGACGCCGTCCCCGACGGTACCTGCTCAGTGCAGTGCTGCACGACTCGTGAAGGCGGCGACCGATACCTCAGAGGCCACGGCGGGTGAGTGATAGATGACTATAATTAATGGGTAGCTATTAACACCGCGGACATCGGCAGGGCCCGGCTCGAGGAAACGAAACGTTTCGTTGGGTTCGGCGGTGCGCGACTCCGTGGCCATCGGCCAGGGCGGAAATCGCGGAGAGTATCAGAACAGCGTCGCGTTGAAATGCTGTCTGCAAATTCTCTCCCCATTTCGCCCAGTGGTCCGATCTCGAGCAGGCCGATTCGCAGTGCCACCGATTCCGCAGCTGCACCGAGGTTATAGTCTTCGTCGCTAGCTCGCTCCGAGCTTTGCAGGTCAACGTCGTCGTCGGCACAACAGTCATCTTCAGCACCGTCAAGCAGCGCATAACATCGAGCACTAGCCTCTCCTCGCCAACCGTCGTCGCTCTCTCAACCGCGCTTCGCCCGCTGCCATCATGGTCGTCTTAGCGTCTCAAGCAAACGCACCCGCGACTCTCGTTCGCCCCGCAGGACAGCCAGTGAGAAGTGAGAACGTTGTAAAGGTGACCAGTGGCCATATACCATGCAATTACCAATATCATCAGCACCACCAATAACTAGCTATAATCACGTATCCCCCCCCCCCCACATCGCCTCGTCTTGTCCTATGCCTTTTTTTCATTCATATTATGTAATACAATTATTTCTTCTATACGAGTACAAAGTAAAATGCTGCTCTTTATTTTTCGTATTAACTAGTACGATTTTATTTATTTCAACAGAATAATGGCCCCACAGACCATGATCGTGTTCACGTGCACAAAGAATATTAACCAACAATTTTTTTGTTACGTACCAAATCTCAATGAAACACATTGAAATTTGAAGGTATTGGCCATGTGAGAGTATAAGTTTACTGTGTGTGGTGACATTTTTCTGCCCCAAAATGTGATAAAGGAAGATAAAATTAATTTATGAAAACACGCACTCATTATTATAAAATCAATCCATTCATCGCTCGGCTCAGAATTTAAAACAATAATAATAATAACAACTATAGTTTTTGTTATTGTTGTTGTATGAACACAGCATTGTTTTTTTCGTAACACTATAGGTAGGTACTGCGCCGAATCGTCGAAATGATTTTCGAGCATCATTCGATTTTAATTCAATATAATATAAAGAATTGATGATGTTATTAATTCGAACTTTCCACGACAAATGTTAACTCAAAAAACAGTTATAAAAGATGAAGACTAACAATAATAAAATATCTGGGTATAGGTATAGCTTTAGTATAAACAACGATTTATTGAGTATACCTACGTAGTTTTCCAGACATTTTAGGTCTTATAATGCCAGCAATCATCACTCTGGCAGGGGCAGAACAATAATTTTCCCAACTAAATTAATAAAAAGTTAAACGTTGCATTTATCTAGTATAGCAATTTCAAATATAGAAAAAGAACGAACTAAAAATCTAAATATTGAGAATAAATAATAGACAATTTTTCCAAGGCAAAATCGAGAAATGATATTTCTTATATTTATATCTTAAATATTTATGTAATAATTATGTTAAATAAATAATTTATTATTTAAGATTACTTTTAAACAGGGACGCCTGGTGAGGGGGCAGTGAGGGCAGTGGGGGCCATGCCACCCTGAGATTTTTCGTGTCACTTACAAAATTGGAAGTTTTTTACATTGCGCTAGTTACGTTTGAACTTGGAAATAAATGATTCAAATTCTCTTGCTGAAGTTAGAAGTTGTATAGGGAAAATAGAAGAAGTTACTACATTTGTTAGAGATAGAATATTGTTGGGAGTAATTTGACAAAATTATGAGAAACAAGGTTCGTTGAAAAACATAAAAGTATCAGAAAATTTTAGGACCAATGTGTAACAATTGTTGAAGGATTATAAGAAATATCAAAATCCAACAATTTTAACAGCAAAACTGGACAGCGTTGCCATGAAATGCTCACTGCAATCACTACTCCAACATTTGTTGTAATATTATCAATCATCGCAAAATATTCTGCAAAACTTGAAACTGTATCTACACTTCTTCAAGGGATAGATGTTGACCTTCAAGAAGCTACAAAACATATTCAAGACCTTTTATCAATGTTAGAAATAGACCGTAATAATTGTGAGAATCTGTTCAATACAATATTTAATGAAGTAAAATTAGTTGCTTCTAAAATTGATCTGGAGTTAAAGTTACCACGGCGTAATATTAAACAAGTACATCGTGAAAACTATTCAACTAATGATGTGAAGGTATATTTTAGACAATCTTTATTTATACCATAGGTACTTGGAATCAGTTATAATGTCTCTAAAAGATAGATTTTCAGATGGAAAATTAAAAAATATTTACATTTTACAACCACAAAAAAACGAAACTAATGAGCTATCAAAAATTTGTAGAAAGTATTGAATTTATTTGTACACTTTATGGTTCACTTCTAGACAATTTTAAAGAACAAGCACTGTCATGGTATGATCTATGAAAAAATGAAGAAGTCGAACCCACCATGAAATTAATTGATATATTCTTGATTACGCCACAAATTAGTATATTACCCAGTCGTATGCCAAGCCATACAAATTGCAATTACTTTACCTGTAACTTCCTGCTTAGTAGAAAGATCGTTTAGGTATGGTTTTTAAATCAATATTTTTATAAATTTTTATTGTTTCAGCACTTAACAATTTAAGCCGTTTATAAACGTGGATTAGAAATAGGATGGGAAACGAAAGACTGAGTAGTTTGGGGTTAATTAATATACACCGCCAAAGGTATGATGATAAAAAATTTTTTAATCAACAAATTTATGATTCAATTAATTTATTTGCTTCAAACAAAAGGAGATTGTCATTACTTTTTGAATAAAATAACAAAATATGATATAAATTCAATCAAATAAAGTTGTTTTTTGTTTAAACTTTATTATGTTTTTTCTTATAAATATTAGAACTAATAGTGTAATTTTATATTAACTTACATGAGTTTTGATTTTTAAATAATTATTAATTATAGTATTACAAAATATTAGTAGATGAAATATGTAGAGGTAAATCTTCCTATAAGTATTTAGGTACTTACAATTATTTTGCCCCCCCCTGAGCTACATTTCTGCGGGCGTCCCTGCTATTAAATATTATATTACCTAATGTTAAAATATGGTTATAAATGTATAATGCAATTCGATTTGTATTAAAAATATAATGGTATAATATTGTAAATTGTTTTTCAAGTCAGCCTCTAAATTTTCTTTTGCACCACTGCCTTCAGAGATCAAGATCCGGCACTGAGTTCAGCAAGTCACTGTAATCCATTACGTGTTAAATAAATGGAATGAATGCCAATGGTCAATCAATGAACTCATTGCAAATATTCAATATTGTCAGCATATACATTACATATTTACATATTTGTGGCTAATCATTAATTCTGTTGTCTTGTGAGTTAATACATTTTTAATTTCCGATCTCAATCGAGCCATCATATTATAATAGTATCAATCTGTGAACCCTAGCCATGAACTAAGATAATAATAATTAATAATTATAATATAATATAATATCATAATATTATGTCTATTGTCTATAATTAGTCGATGGATATTGGATCGAGCGGACTGGCTGGGCCTGGACGGCGGCGGTCAAACAGTTCCCTCACCACATTAATTTAGTCACATCCATCGCCATCTGATATTCTGATCGACCGGCGGGCGGCGACCACTGACTGTAGCTATTAGCTAATAGATATGTATAGTTCACTAGTTCAGTGTTCAGTCGTTCAGTGAGTGGAGTGGGAGTGTGGGACACGCGGAGGTTCCACGGCGACGGCACTAACTATATGTGGATCCACGTGGTTTATCACTGCCCACCGCGTATCAACGGCGGCTGATAGCGAGGCGGCGACTGGGGCTGATAAGTGATAACGGGCACCCGACGGGCCTACGTCACAGTGCAGCGGCTACAGCCTATGGGCAATAGGCTATAATTGAGTAGTGAGCGTACTGATCGTCCGAACTGTGAGTGGCGAGTGGAGTGACACTTTAGTGTAGGGACTACTACGGCTACGTGGTTAGCTGCTGCTGTTGTTGGCCAGTCCACAGTCGTTCCGCGATAAAGGCGTTGTTCCGTCCGATCGCCGGTGTTCCGCACGGCGTCCGTTTCTGTCGCCTACCGCCGCCGTGGCCACGATGTACGCCTAAACCGAGACACGGTCGTGCCTCCTCTAGCGATTCATACACGCGATCCACCGTCGGAGACGCACAACGGACCTACATCCGAGCAAGGTACATCCACCCGAACGCCGTTTCCGGGAGGCACTGCCACCGATCGCCGAACACACGGTAGCCCCCCTCCCCCCAGTCAAGGCTTCCGATCCGGTCGCGAGCCTCCTACTTTTCCACCGTTTCAAATACATACGTGTATAATAGATATTGCTATAATTTCTTGTATTATGCATTTTATATAGTCATAGTAATAATAATAATAATAATTCATGTGTGGTGTGCACACAGGTCAAAAACGACTAAATAGAGTGCATGTCAAGTTTTTTTTAAATTTTATTTTCGTTTTATGTTCTATGTTTTGACAATGTTCTTCACAAAAGATGCCTATCAAGGACCGGACTGCAACGACAATGGTGTCCCGCAACCGTCCACCGACTGATTCTAGGCCCAAATCAAGACCGAAGAAAATCGACAAAGTAAGCCGCCCCGATAACAACAATATTGTTGTGTATCTTCTTACTTACACAATGTTTTTATTACCCTTTAACATTATTATTGTTTTATTATCAAACATATTACATAACAATTAATATATGTCGGTATCCTCAACTGCTATCTCGGTCAAATATTTGCTTCAACACAATTTTTGCTTTAGTTTTGAACTACAAACAAATATTGTAAATCAATGTTTTTCGTCATATATGACTTCATCCATTTAATATTTTTCTATGACTGCATCCCTAATGTTATCTCTGACATTAAAAACCCTATCTTCAATTTGTTTTTTGTAGGACAATGATTCTTTATAATTAGTTAGTAACTCTTTTTACCTTGAACGATTATGACGAAAATGGTAGGTATGTATTCCAATTATGTGACAATAGACATTTTTCTTTGTATTTTATTATTGCTCAATTAAATTCTATTATTATGCTTATTCAATAATATTTCTATGTAGTCTGTATTTTATTAAGTGCCTAGATATTTATTTGTTTTGACAGTTCCACTATTCACTGTTATAGAATTTGTTACTATAGTTAATTTCAATGTTTTATATTCATTATAATATTACCTGATAGTTAACTTTTAAATCTGTTTGCACAATTCTAATCACTTTGTTAAGAAGTCCAAAATAACAGTTTATAAAGTAAGACAAATATATCTCACTTATATCATTTTAAATATTTTAAAATGTAAATATCTTGATTTAAGTAGGCACCAAAACAATACAAATTAAAAATAATATCTACCTAGATAGGTACCTAAAAAAATATTGAAAAAGTATCAAATGTTTTATTTCTTTAGAATTATTTCAAAAGACATTAATATGGTCTTGACTGATTAAGAAATATAGCTCTTTAATTGTTATATTTAACTATCTACTTGTCAGTTATTGAAATTGTTTTTTTCTAACTAATAACTTTTTGAATTATTACAGATACATTGATGCTTAATTACTATCAGAATATAATTTAAAAATATTTTTTCCAATGCATTTAACATTTATGTATTGTTGATATGTAATTGACGTTGACCAGTTTTTAATATACTGCTTACACCTAACATTTTTTTTAGGTATTACAAAACGGCCAGAGTAATTCTAAGTTCAAACAACTTAAAAAATCAACAAAAATGGATGTCCACTCACTTGTGGTATGGAAACATCCCATCTTAACTTTAGATTATTTCTGTAAAGAAGTAGTTTGTTTATCCAAATCATTTGTTAAAAAGTAAGTTACATAAAAAACTTGCATAGTTATTACTTGTAAAATTTAAAAAAAAATTTGTTTCAAATTCATCAAGTTACCATTGCGCACAATAAAAAGTAATTCAATTGCAATAAAACTGTTTTTAAAGCGTCTCAAAGAGTGCAATTAATTGTTTTATATTTTATTTACATTAAGATATACCTATTTTACTTTGGTTTTAGCATTTGTTTATAAATATCTAAGTACAATTTAGTTTTTACATATATCTGCATAATATAAGATCCTAAATATTTTTCCAAATTTGGTTAATTAATATTCCTGTTTCCCATAAAAGTAGTATTTATTTTAAATTGTATTATTTGAATAGTTGTTAAATAATTTAATAGACCTTGGTATCATACTGAAACACACTTATCAATTACATGTTCAAATTAAATATTATGTTGATCAAGAAAATAAATAACATTAAACTGTTATTGACATACAATTTTACAATTTGTATGGGCTTTTTTAAAAATTGTTACATATTATAACATTTCATAATATTGAAATGTTATGTAATTTGTGAATTTAATTATGTAATTTGTTATCAACAATAATTAATCTTAGCAATGATGATTAACTATATTTTTATTGCTTTTCAAATTATATGCAGTTGGTTGTATGGTTATTGAGTTTTATTTTAATTTTTAATCAAATAACATTGTAATATTGTTATTTCAGATAATTACATTTTGTCATGTTATTTTATAACAACTTATATGATGTTTAAATAGCATTAAATTATTTGAGTAACACATTTACTACAGGTCAATAGTTTGAATAATATTTAATAGTAAAACTGATTGTATTAATTTTTATTTTTCAGATTAATTTGTTATAAGTTATATGTGCTTCTGGCACTTTTAGTAATTTCTACTCCAATTATTTTATTATACATTGAAGGTCCTCATTTACCAGTGAGTCATTCTGTTTTAATTAAAATAAGTTAATGTAAATAAATGTTGTTATTGATGTTTTAGATATTAATATGGGCAAAATCAAAAGTTGTATGGTGTCTCTATTGGTTAGGTCTAGGAGTCTTATCATCTGTTGGTTTTGGTACAGGCCTTCATACATTCCTTCTCTACTTGGGCCCGCACATAACCTCTGTCACTTTGGCCGCCTATGAATGTGGTGGACTTAACTTCCCTGAGCCCCCATATCCAGAACAGTAAGTTCTACTTATTTTACTTTATTCTATATAGTCATACATAATTATTTTTAATAAATGTATACATTTTCAGAATCATTTGTCCTGATGAAGTTGACAGCGCCTGGATAGCCAGTTTATGGAACATCATGTTAAAAGTACGAGTTGAAGCCATGATGTGGGGAGCAGGTACTGCTCTTGGTGAATTGCCTCCATACTTCATGGCTCGTGCTGCTAGACTATCCGGTAGACCACCTGATGAAGACAAGGAAGATTTAATAGAATTTGAAGAATTACTGAAAAAAGAAAAGCATCCTGAAACAATGGTTATATTTCTTAGTTCATTATGTTTATTGTGTGGTAATTCATGTTTCTATTTTAGACTCTGGTAGACAAGTCAAAATTGTTTGTCGAGCGACTTGTAAAAAAAGTTGGTTTCTTTGGAATATTAGCCTGTGCATCTGTAAGTTAATATTTTGTTGTTTACGATAAACCATAGTTTATACTGGAGTTTGAATAATACAAATATTTTAGATTCCGAATCCATTATTCGATCTTGCTGGGATTACATGTGGACACTTTTTAATACCGTTCTGGACGTTTTTCGGGGCTACTCTTTTGGGTAAAGCTGCCATTAAAATGAGCATACAAGTGTTGTTTGTTGTAGTGGCTTTTAATGAAACACTGATTGCAAGTGTACTCGATATTGTTGGCAAAATCCCAGGAGTTGGAAAAAAATTGCAGGCTCCTATTACAACGTTTTTAGAAAACCAAAAACAAAGGTTACATGCCAAAAAAGACTCAAAGGTAATTTGATTAATATTGATCTTTAAAAATTATACTTTACATTACTAACATTTATGTATTTATTTAGGGCACAAATATTGCTGTGAAATTGTTTGACCTATTTGTGTTATCAATGGTTCTTTATTTCATTGTGTCATTAATCAACTCTATGGCGCAAAATTACTATAAGCGAAACCATAAGACTTCAAAAAAGCGATTAAGCGACTGACATACGGTTGTCAACCGTTTGAAAAAATCTTATCGTAAGTCCAAACGGCATTGAATTATTACTACTCATTCATTCATCCAATTATTTTCGTTTAAATTATTATTTCTTGGTACACAATAATAAGTCTTACTACATTATATATTTATTATAAATTAATAAATATTACAGGGTTTTGATTTATAACTATTATAAAAGTAAATAAAAATAAAATATTTATAAACTTAATATTACTGTATTATTATGCTGCTCAATCAACTAAATGAAAATTGTTATTATTGTAAAACATGCTATATTAAGATTTAAAAATGTATTGTATTGAACGACAATTTGAGCAGCTTTTTTATTTGTATTTTTATTATGTTAAAAATAATAATTTGTGTTCCGTATGGTATATTTTATATGAAATATATTTTGCACTGCAAAATAAAATTAATTGTAAAAATATTTTTAATGTATATGTGTAATTCACAAGTGTTACCAATATTTAATTTTAGGTGTAATTATAAACCATACGGGAAAGATTTTATTATACAGATTTAAAACTTTTTCGTTAATTTTTTAATATTGTTTTTTCTCCAATTTGAATGTATGTTATAGCAAAAATAAGCATTTGCCCAATAACAATATTATGTATGTGTTAAAATAATCAGGCTAATTATAAAAATACCATGTCGTTTAGAATAATACAAATCCAGTCAAAAATCCATTTTTGATTTTGTAAAATATGTTTTTTGTAATTTTAATTATAAACAGTTATTATTGAAAAAATGAAAATAAGGTTATTTGATAGTCGCCATACAACAGTGGTCGCTTGTGTATATCCTTATAAAATGTTTGTGATTTTAATAAGTATGATAGTGTAATGTGTGTTAAATTTAGTGGTAGAAGACTGTTCCTCTTCTGAAAATTTGTTCATTCCTGTTTTGAAAAAAAATAATAATTATAATTACATGAAAGAACATTTCAAGTATTATTATTATGATTTTTTTTTTTTTTTTGTCAATCGCTTTGTAGAACGACAAATCATATACTTAAACGTTAATTTGTATATTGTGTATGCGTGCCAGTAATATGCATCTTTGACAATAAATTATCTAATGTTCCATTTCGTGTGTTTTAGTAATTTGATGTAGATAAAGACTATATTATTATATTTTGTTGTCATAATATACTTGTGTTTTTCTGATATTATGTAAGATTCTAGTACTTATTAGACTTTTCAAAGAATAATAGTGTAGTGTGTAGAGTAAGGCGTATGTATACTGAATTTTTAATATTAAATGGTTCAATGAACTTTCAGTAATACAATTGTCGTCAAAATACATTATAGGAATGTGTATATGTAATATGTATATCATGTAGAATTCTTAATTTTTTTTTTTCTATATGTAATGCAATACCTCTACTTGTTTGTGTGATATGTGACATTGGTCAACTACCAAATAAACGTTTACCAACATGATTGTATGCATATATTTATATTGTGTACAACACCTGTATTGAGCTCCCGCGGATGTGTTTAGGTTTTTAATATGATTATTAATTACATGTACACTTACAACTTACACACGTATATTGTATTTTCAAACAATTATTTATTTACGTGTTTATTTGAAATGAAATCCTATTAAATGCTATGTTTTTTTATCACTCTATCACTCATTTAAGATATTATTCATAAAAATAATATTATAATAGAATAAAATGTTCATGCAAAGCACACTAAGTCCAAAAATCTTTTTTTTTCCGGTTTGTTATTATATATATAATTCAGTTTAAAAATATCTACAATATGATATATTAAACTAATCAACTAAGTCCACGTGTAGACTTAATGTGTTATGCATGAGTCATTGGTAATTCATAGAATATAGTTAAAGTAATAATATGCAAAATTGATAAGTCCATTTTTAATCTATAAAAAATAATAATAATACTAATTATATGGAAATTAATTGATTTTAATAAATTTAGGTTGTGCCAGGTCCATAAATACATGCATGCAAAAGACGCCAAGTCCATGTAAACTATGCTAAAGTCTAGACTTAGTAATTTGTATTTTAACTATAATAAGAATTATAAATTTCACAGTGTCATATTATTGACAACCATTCATAAATAACTACTTGCTTAAAAGAAAATCAATTAAAATAATCAAAAAAAAAAAGGTGCTTACGTTTGGCATACGTTTAAAGATTGAAAAAATTTGCTAAAGCTGATTCTCAAAAATTATGTTTTTGGACTCGGTGTGCTTTGCATGAACGGTAATTAAATGTGTCCAGGTGTTACAAAATATTATGATTACAAATTATTGCTGTAATTTTTGTTATTGCGAATGTCAATTTTTTTTTATCCATTCGAATAGGAAAATAAATTGTTGACTAAACATAATAATAGTTATTACATTTTATATTGTGATTTACCGTTTATATGCCACAAAAAAGTGGCGAGCTGAACATCAAATTAACATATTACTGTAAACATTTTTCATCATGTTCATACAATTAAATGACTGGTTAATTAGTTATTGGAAATGTATTTTGTTCCTTTTAAAATCAATAAAATTATACTATTGGCTAATCACACAAATATGATTTAGGTATAATACAGGCATAACATATTAATTAATATATTATGTCTTCTATATTCACAATTTGACCAGTGTACTTAACTATTTAACTCGCACACAGATTTTAACGTTTGTTTCAAATACATCACAACTTTAAATTATGTAACCACTGCCTAAGAATTAAGAGCAAACTGCATCTCTTTTCCGCATTCTTAGAATAGACCAACATGTATTTATGCCGTTAACAGTTTTTTGCATGACTTGTAGCGTTGTTTTTATATGCATACAATTATACAAATCGTGTAATGGATTACTGTTGTATTTGATGATTGTTTAATCAACATTAAATTAGCATATTGGTGTATGTTTTTAAATTTTTTTTATATTATTGATGATACAAGTCATGGTGTTTTTTCTTTTAGTAAATATTTTTCATTAGACTATTAGTTTATACTTCATAGAATACACACTTGTCAAAAAAAAACTTGTACTACTATCTTATAAATTATAATACAACATTGGCGAGTAATTTATTTTTACGCACACATTCATACTGTAATACTACTAATACTTAAGTTGAACTAATCTAAATACAGATTCAATATGTACATTTTTTTTTTTCATTTGTTGACATCTTAGTCATTTAAATTAAAAAACGATCAATCGTGAGATCAGTTTTACATATTGTAGATTATTTTTTTACCAAATCTTTATTAATGAATTTGGTGGTTAATTGAAATGTGTTGGAAAAATAATTTTAGGTTCCAATTGTTTGATATTTATAAACACATTATTATAATAATCTATAGGAAAGAATACCCCAAATTCACTATTTCGTTTTTGAAAATGTATGTTTAAATAAAAGCCTAACCCGACTCACGAGTGATAAGTGCATAGCAATACAAGTATGTGGCCATAAATACAGTTACCCACCTTTCATAAAAATGAATATCTTCAATAATAATAAGAAACATGATATTTTATATTCTATAACTATTGTTTGTTTCCTAATGAAATAACAAGCGGTAGTTTTACTGGAGTATTATTGATTAAAAATAAAACAATATAATATGGTATGGAATGTAATTTTATTATACACACATTTCTATAACAAATAATAAATAGAAATTAACATGGGAAATTTATAATTTTATCATAAATATATCAAAATATTTAACGAAAGGTAAATAATATCATTTCAATTATTTAAAACCAATATTATCGAGGTAAATTTTTTTACTTAAGTCTAAACATCAAAAGTATTATACTAAAAGTAAGGATAAATGATGATTTATTTTAACAGTTGTCAGTTACGGCTTGTGTAACAACTAACTCCATTATCGAATTGTTGATTTTAAATGAGAGGTATATATTGATTGTTGAACATTTATTAAACATTTTTAATTCTAAAAATCTAAAAACAATCCTTTTTTATTTGTATTCATCTGATTATAGTGAACTAATACTTTGATTGCAATTATTTTATCATAATTCATAATATTATCAAATTCTTCTATAGAGATCACCTAAAAGAATACTGTTATGAAAACTTTAAAAAATTGTACCTTGACATAATGACAAGGACAAGTAAATTTGTGTATGATATAGATTGAACATTATTCATGACAACTAAGTAATACAAATTGACTATTCTCATAGTTTTTTAAAACCGGTCATAAGATAATATAGAAAGTTTATAAGAATGACAAAAGGCATATTATGGTTGTACACAATTGAGAATTATAAGTATTTTTTCTTAATATTAATAACGCAGCCCTTGTCTTTGTCAATCGTAGTAATGAATTATTCTTCTTCGGTCTCATTATTTTGGAAAGATGCCAGCAACTGTTCGATTCGCGAATAAATGTCCCCATTTTTGCGCTCCAAATGGTCAAGCACCAAATTCAGGTTGTCAATCTCTTCGTGCAACCTGTACACGACTACGATAACATTTAAACACATACGTAATTAATATTCCAACCAAAGGACATTGCATTCTTTTTTACTGACCAGTATTACCATTTTCGTTCTCGCCTCGTGTTGAGTCCATGGATGGATCGGTGGTCTCTTCTAGATCTATGTCGTTCTCTTCGTCGGTGGTCTCTTCTAGGTCTATCTCGTTGGATTCGTCGGTGGTCTCTTCTAGGTCTATATTGTTGGCTTCGGCCGCCATATTATCAGGAATCTTAGAAGACGAATTAACAATATTAAATGATGACAAACTGTATTTTATTGTATTAGGTACCTATCCTATTTATTGCTAATACCCAACACAATATCGCAGAAAAATAATTTATTTCGTACAACAATATTATTATAACATTTAAACTTGTAGCTTACCAGGCGTATGACGATGACACGAAGAAAAATCTGAAAATTTAATATTATTCCAACTTGAACTAAAGTCAAACTAGGCGTTTACGGGTTTACGACAGCTCACTTTTTGTTATCACGTGACAACACAGACTGACTAGGCCACAACAACTATGGCCTTGAAAGAATGTATATTTTACTACTTGATAACAGTTTTACTGTTATCGGTATATTTCTGTTATCTCCGTTTATAATTATTTTAGATTCTGAGTGAAACGATGAATGTATTGATTTTACAATGATGTGTGTTTTTTTTTTATTTTATTTTTTTTTTTGTGTGTGTACACGATAAGTAGTCGAACTCGAAATAATGCTTCGATTTTCAACTTCAGTATCTTGTTCGATTGGAAAGTGAATATCGTTGGTGCATTGGGGAGGTCAAAATTTAAATTTCCCAGTAATTTCAAAAAAACGATTTTGGTTTTTGGTGTAACTTTAAAACAAATTACCGTAGATACATGACATTTTCAGTGGTTGTTTATATTTGCATTTTCTATACCTACACGATAACATTTTCAAAATATTTTGATTTATTTTGAACTGTTTAGGGACATTTTCAGTTTCCAATTTTATTAGTTTTTTTTTTTATGAATATCAATAAAAATTCATTTGTTTAGTAAAAATACTTGAAAATTTAATACAAGGCTCCTACTATATTGTTTCAAAGACAGATGAAAAATATTAAAAATCGTTAGTCGCAGTTTTTTTGTTAAGCATTTAAAGTTCAAAAAATGACAAAATATGGAAAAATCACGAAAATTTGCAAATTATTTCGAGTTAGAAATTCATAAAAATTCTTCTTTTTAAATCTAAGATATGAAAATGTAATACAAGATTCCTTATAAGATTTCCTACATTTATCAAAAAAAAAATTCTATAAGAAAGTCAAATTAAATTTTTATGAGCGTTTGAAATTCAAATTTTTACAACATTGGATATTCACTCGATTTCTCATGTGGCGCTTTCCTTATTTTGTTGTAATTCAAAAACGAATTACTGTAGGTACATGAAAATTTCACTGAATGTTTATATTAGCATTTCCTATACACCATACAATTTTGAAAATATTTTGACTCTTTTTGAGCCGTTTACGGACATTTTCAGTTTTCAATTTTTTTAGTTTTTTTTTCTATAAATATCAATAATGTTTTATCTGTTGGGCCAAAAAGTGTAAAAAATTAATACAAGGCTCCTGATATATTGTTACAATAGCAATTGAAAATATTAAAAATACATAGGCACAATTTTTTTTTATAAGCATTTAAAGATCGCATTTTGACAAAATTTATCAAAATCTCGAAAATTATCAATCATCGTAATTAATAAATTATAAAATGTTCAGTTTTATAGCTAAGGATTGAAAATTTAAAAAAAAAGATTCTCATAAATAGTTCATACTGTAGCCAAAAAATCTAAAAAAATATATGAGCACAGTTATTTTTTACAGACATTTTTTAAGTTCAAATTTGGGACGAAATTACATATTAAAAAACCTAGCATACCTATTTTAGTTATTTTGTTGTGAGTGTATAATACTATTCGTGGGTACTTGACACTTCTAAAGTACACTATATTCATAGGCGCAAATTGACTAAATTTTTTGGGGGGACTCAAGCCCCCCTCCACAAAGGTCATAAATCATAATATAAGTAAAACAAATGTTGGAGGGAAACGCTCTCCATAAAATCCCCCACCCACTGAGCAACTATCGTTACGGATATATTAAAATACAAAGTATTACATTTTTAGAATATATTTATTTTAACAAAATTCTCCGTTCTTTTTCGGCAAATACATTTAAAATATCTTCTGTATTTTTATTATTAGATAAATCCCTTATTCCAATAAATATTAAAATATAACCTAACAAGTAAGTAATAAACTTATATCTTAGTCCGTGGACCGTGGTAACAAATAATAATTATTAATGATAACAAAATGCTCCGTTCAAAAATTGGCGCGTCAACCGTCGATTGTGGAGGTCAACAGCAACCACGGCATTATTCTTTGGCTATAGATACTATAGCCGTGATCGTGACACAGCCTTCATAGTTTATCACTAGGGCTCGGATTTAAATGCCCTAAAAATATCAAAAAAATGCCCTTTCAAAAAATGCATTTATGACCTAAAAACTCTAAAAAATGCCCTAAAAATATCAAAAAATGACGTTTCAAAAAATGCATTATTTATTAAATAAATTCAAATTTAATTTTTATTAAAAAATGAGGAACAAAGTAAGTACCTTCAACGTAATACGCAACACGACTGAAAGCGTCCGACAATCGGCCACGCGCACCACCGATATAATATTATGGGGCTAGGTAAATTGAGTCCGAGATAAGTTTGGTACATTTTGAAAGCGGTAAATTGAGTCCCGGGAAAAAACAGGTAGGAGGTAAGTTAAGTCCCGGGAAAAAAAAGGTAGTAAGTAAATATTATTTATATAAAGATATATAATATTTAGATTTACATAAATTAATTTAAAAAAATTATTGTTGTTAAAAATTATCATTATTATTATATATATATTATGTACTTGGTAAAAACTTCATTGATATTGATTTAATAAACTCAAATCGGGTTATAACATTACCGGTGTATTTGGTCATTTGCTCCCTTAGGTTTTGTTCGTTATCGATCATGCTTTTCTTTTTTTAATTTTTACTTATTAATTTTATTTGTGTCTCTGACTGAACTTCAAGTAATTCATCAATAAAGTTAAAAATATTCGGATGTGGACTGTAAACGCGTCGGTTTAATCTCGAATGATACGATTCACAACTATTGGTTGTACGCACGGTTGTAGCAGCAAATGCGGACCAAATATTCGGGGGAAATCGGTGAGATAGTAAGATGACGGTATCTTACTATCACACTATATATTATAGTATATACGTACGAACAAGTCTGTTCGAACGCGGCTGAACTTCCCGCCGAATCTACCAAAAGTCCAAAGGCTTTACAAGTCTCGTGGCCGGCGCGGAATGTTCGCGAAGAGTCGTTCCCCCTCCACGGTGTCCACACGCCGGCTGGCGTCCACCGTCCACGGCCCCCGTGCCGGGGACTCTGTCTGTTGTCTCTTACCTACGCTCGAACTTGGCGGATCACGCACCGCCGGTTCGCGTTGCTTCGTGTGGCTGTGTTTAGACCTCGTGGTCATTATTAGTCATTATTTATTATTTTTGATTATAATTGGTGCACGTCTATACCGTCGTAAACTTGGAGACAGTCTAAGTTTGACGGATTGAGTCACCGCGCACCCCCAAAGTTATTAATTATTATACGTGTCACCGCTGGGCCGTCGTTCAACTGCGCCGCAGTGCCGATTTTGGCTGTTGACGAGGAAGACGCTGTCGCATTTCCAGCGAGGACCGTGCTGACCAGTGGACCTGTCCCCGAGGTGTCGATCAGGTCATATTGTAAAATTATTATTATTACCTATTGTTTAAATTATTATTATTGTTTATTGTTCAAATTATTATTATTATTATTGGTGTAGCGCGTGTTAAATTGTACACGGCGTCTACATTGATTACTAGTGTGTAAAAAATATATATATCGCGTCATTACACATTAAGAATTGTACGAGGTAATATTTTGTGAGTTATCACCTTCCCGCCCACACACCCGCGAGTCGTCAGTAAACTGCTGTTAACGTAAGTGCTGACGGCGCAATATTTTTGGTAGCAGAGCGTGGTTTTCCGACCTTTGTGGGGGTTCGGTAGCGGTGTGTTTGGTTCTTTTTGGTGGGCTGGTATCCACATAGTGTTTCCTACGGTGCTTATAGGCGACATAGTTTATTTTTATTTGTATTTGATTTATATTTATATTATATTACACTTCACTCGTAATGACTGACGAGAAAGACATTGAGCGTACGTCGCGCCAGCTCGCGCGTGCTATAGTAAAGCGTACTACCATCATATCACAGATTCGAGCCATACATGCTATGTCGTTGCGCGTACAATCAGAGCCTGATTTAGCCTCAGAGTTTGCGTTAAACGCGGCTGATTTAGACGCGCTATGGTTCCAATTTCGGACGGATGACGATTCTGTATTAGACCTTTTAGTGGCGTCCGATAAGCTCACCGATTATTCACCCGACTTGACAGCGGAGGTACGCCAACTAATTAACGCGGCTAAAAATATCGCCCAGCGGTTAATCCCGACAGGTGCCGACGCCGTCGACTTATCTTATCTCCGAGATGGGACATCAAGTGTTCAGAAACCGCGAGAGGATCCGGTTAAGTCTCTCTCCCGCTTACCTGATATACCTCTACCCACGTTCGATGGTGATTACCGATCGTGGCCCAATTTTCGCGACAGATTTTCAGCGCTTGTCAATTCGCGATCCAATTTATCGAACATCGATAAGATGTACTATCTAATAGGTTGTCTAAAAGGTGCCGCAGCCGACGCTGTCCGAGGCATACCGGTGTCGGCGGACAATTACGAGTTAGTAATGAACACCTTATCTGACAAATTTAATCGACCGCGTTTGGTCGCAACGGCACTTGTCGACAAATTACTGCAATCGTCGGCCATGACACAGGAGTCGCTTAACGATTTGAACACGTTTGTAGGCACGTTCAGTGAATCCATCTCATTACTAGACGCGCTAAGAATACCAGACTCTGGGTCTTTTATTTTATTTTCTATAGCGTTTCGACGTCTACCTGTTTCTACCCGCAAATTATTTGAAGCGAGTAGTACAGTCGATTACCCGTCGATAGGACAATTATTAGATTTTCTCCGGGCCCGAGTGGCCATTCTCGAAGTTGTGGGCGAATCCCACAAAA